GTACCTCCTTTACTTTTTTAATAAGTCCCAAATGTTTAAATATGATAGTAAGAAACGTTTTTAATACACAGAATATTAAAATTGCAGTCATGTTATTTTAAAATACGCTCTGCCAGTGAAATATTGCCATAAGAAAAGTACATGGATGAGCAGTGATATTTTAAAAAATTGTTTCTTTATGAATTTCGTACCATTAACGGAGAAGTTTTTAATAGACAATAATCTACTAAAAAAGCAGTTTTATTGCTAGATAATGCGCCGACTCCTCCTGGTGGTAGTAAACTTCAAGATGGGAATATAAAGACCATGTTTCTCCTTCCGAATGTCACAGCTTTCTGACGACCTATGCACCAAGGTGTTTTAGAGACACTGAAACAAATCTATCGGAGAATCCTTCTATTAACCATGATAGGAGAAATAAACGATAGACGAGACTTAATCATTATATACAAAGCCATTAATTTGAAAAATGTTTCCTACTGGATCTTAAGTGCATGGAACAAGGTTGAGGTACAAAGGTTAGCCCACCGCAAAAATTCTCCTCCACCCATAAGAACTGCTATCTACAGGCCAAATTATCGTAAAGCAAATTGGGAACTCTTACAAGAGCATATACCGCATATACCGCAGAGTATTGAAAATATCATGGACTGATAGAATTACAAATAAAGAAGTACTGGAGAGGGTTATTAAAGAAACAGAACTAATCACCACTATACAAACCAGAAAACTGGAATACCTAGGCCACGTGATGAGGGGACCAAAATATGAAATTTTGAGACTGATAATACAGGGAAAGATTCAAGGAAGAAGATCTGTTGGCCGAAGGCAGAACTCATGGTTAAAGAATCTACGTGATTGGTACCAATGCAGATCGATTGATTTGTTTAGAGCAGCAAGTTCTAAAATAAAAATAGCCATTATGATTGCCAACCTCCGTAGGGAGACGGCACTCTAAGAAGAAGACAAGAGCATACCAACCAAAACCTCCCCGAGTTAGACAATATGTCAACACATAATCAAGTTGACGCAGGGATTTCCAAAATTAAGAAGCTTCTTTAAGAAGTCTCATCCCTGGCAATCCTACAAACAAGATACAATCCATATACTCCAACTCTCCCACCTAAAATTATCGCACTAATTAAATCAAAATGCAAAATGATTAGAGAGTATAAACTATTTAAAGATCAGCTCATCAATACAGAGTATAACAGGCTCTCGGCGGGTATAAGGTTTCAAGTGAACAGGCTGAAATAATTAGAGTGGTGGCGTGTCACAGCCGGCCTTGATTACCAAGAGGTTGCTAAATTCTGGAATCAACTTAAAGTGCTAACGAAACAAAAAGTCAGCCAAAATCACATCTCAGAGTTAACAACGTAATTCTTAACAATCCACAAGACAAGGCCAAAATCTACAAAGATATATTACAGGCCGCCCCCTAATTTATTTCCCCTAATAACCCCAACTTCAGTGAAAGATTTAAAAGAAACGTCAAACGGAGAGTGCAAGATATATTCAATTATCCTCAGGCACATTTGAGGCCACATCCTCACCCGATAATGGCCCGTGTGACTCCATTAGGCGGATGTGTAATATTGGAAAAAAACACAGCTTCTGGCCCTGATGACATCCACAGAAGATGCCCTAACAATCTTTCAGAGAATATTATCCCGTTGCTCACCAACATAATCAATGCATCTCTTACGCTTAGCTATTTTTCAATTCCATGTCATGGAAGCACAGTCATGATTCTCAAACAAGGGAAAACATTTGATCAGGTCAGACATACAGGCCTGATAAAAAAACTATACCTTACTAGATTACCCACACCTTTCGTTAAACTAATAAATTTCTATCACTCCAATAGGACAATCAGGATTAAAGTCAGCGATATCTTATCCACACCCTTCACTACATAAGCTGAAGTACTCCAGAGCTCTATTCGTGCTCCAATACTATAGACCGTCTACAATAGTGACATCCACCGCCCACAGCATAGATCGGACACACTTCTACTATACGTTAATGACACTGCTCTCCTCACGTCAGGACCACATAGAGAGCGTGGACAATTGTTTTATTCGAAAGAGCCCAAAATATTCTAAACAGAGGTTTTAGCAATCTAAACAGAGGCATTAGGTGGTGAAATAAATGTAGGGTGGCCATAAACCCCTCCAAAACACAATTAATTTGATTTAAATCCAAACATTTTAAAAAATTTTTTGGATAACGTCTTTTATTTTTATCTTTTTATGATGTGGCATTAAACGATAAATTAAACCATTCATTTTCATTCTTTTATTCCCAACCCTTAATTTTTAATAGGAGTATTAGTGCCACAGGGTTAGATGCCGTAGTCCTCCGAGACGGGTTGACCGATTTTTATAAAATTTTGCATGTACATTTGGTAGGTGCAAATTATAAGAGTTATCCAACACAAATATATTTCATTCTTTTTTAAACAATTTTTTTTTATTTTTATATTTTTAGCATCAAGCGTAGTAGTAACGTTTAGAATTATCATTTTATCTTCCCAGTGTAAAAATCAAGTAAATTTATTATGAATTTGCTGTGCCGAGCTTATACATCGTGTTTTTTTCGAACGTAGCTTACCAGTTTAAAAACTATAATTGGACGAGAAATATCGGCTGCAAAAAAAAAACACAGATCTCGACGATCTGAATACGACCATTCTGAATTTTCTTTCAGGAAAGTTGTTTTCGTTTAAATTAGTTGACACAGTTATAAATCAAGATGAACTACTCAACTATCCTACAGAGTTTTTGAATTCATTGAAATTTTCTTGACTCCCACCTAACAATTTACAATTAACAGTAGAATCAGTTATCGTTTTGCTGTGCAGTGAAAAAAATCCCTGTGAAATACCCATTAAAAATACATTGTCCAAAAAGAAGACTAAAATCGACAGAAAATGTATGAAGATAGGCATGTGGAATAGGTTAAGTCAATATATCAAGCAGGTAAAATCCATAATGTCATTCAGAAAATGGAAAGACTTGGCATAAAAATATTAGGACTAAGTGAAACCAGATGGCCCAATTTAGGTGACATATTAGTAGGTCAAACAAAGGTGTACTACTCTGGTAATGACAACGACGCAAATCACTGGAACGGAGCAGCGATATTAGTTTACAAAACTACCCAGAAATTTGTAACTTATTAAGAAAAAATCAAACATACTGCTGGATAAAAACGGCAAAATAATTATAAACGTCGGTGAAAGGCTTAAAAGATGGCAGGAATATATTCAAGAGCTATTTAAAGACGAATGGACTGAGATAGTACTAAAGCAGGAAAAGTTTGACAACGGCCCAGATATAACAGAAGATGGGGTATTAGAGGCGATAAAGCGAACAAAGAATAACAAGGCAACAGGTCCTGACGAAATACCTGAAGAACAGCAAATTGGAATATTGGTCGACTTATTCAATACAATACAGTACAGGAATCATTCCCAGAGATTGGCTGATGTCAACATTCATAACACTACCAAAAAAACCAAATGCAAAAAATGCCAAAACCACCGGATAAAAAGTTTAATGAGTAATACACTCAAAATATTTTTAAAAATTATACACCGGAGAATACACAACAAACTTGAGCAGGACATAAGTGACACACAATTTTGATTTAAAAATGAACTGGGAACGAGGGAAGCCCTGTACGCTGTGAATGTACTTGTGCAAAGGTGCATGGATGTTATTTAGCCAGTATATATGTGTTTCTTGGATTACAACAAAGCCTTCGATAAGGTAAGACATAACCGTCTTATCGAATTACTTGAAAAGAAAAACTATTATAATCAGATCGCTGTGGTAAAAGAGAACAACGTCTTTTCAAATGAAATACAGATTGAGAGAGGCGTCAGGCAGGGCTGTGTCCTGTCTCCTACAATTTGTATTCAGAGAAAATAATCCAGGAAGCACTAGAAGAACTAACTATGGGAATAAAATTAAATGGCCGACCAATCAATAATATCCGGTTTGCCGACGACACTATTTTATTAGCGGAATGTCTTGAGGATTTACAACAAATAGTTGACAGAGTGGTAGAAGTCAATGAAGAAAACGGACTGTCCCTAAACACAAAAAAGACACAATTTGTTGTAATTACAAAAGCCCAACAGCGCCAAGAAAACATAACAATACATGGAGAACAAATTAAAAAAGTTGACAAATATAAATATCTGGGTACAATAATTAATGAAAATAATGAGTACACAGAAGACATTAAGGCAAGAATAGGACAGGCAAGAAATTCTTTCAACAAACTGAAAAAAGTACTCTGCAGCAGGGACATTTCAATTTCTTTAAAGATAAGACTTCTGAGATGCTAGGTGTTCTCCGTATTATTTTATGGGTTGGAGGCTTGGACTTTAAAGAAAGATGTTTCGGACAGATTGGAAGCCTTCGAGTTATGGGTCTATAGCAGGATATTAAGAATAAGTTGGTAGATAGAGTCACGAATGTCGAGGTGTTGAGAAGAATGGGAAAAGATAAAGAGGTCTTAAATACAGTTAAAGTCACAAAACTGCAATATCTCGGACATGTTATGAGGGGCGAGCGTTATAAGTTGTTGCAATTAGTAATTCAAGGAATAATACAGGGTAGAAGGAGTCGCGGAAGAAAACGCATCTTCTGGTTGAATAATTTGAGAGCTTGGTTTAACTGCACTTCTGCTAACCTCTTTAGAGCGGCGGTAGAGTTTATTAATTTTTATGGCTATAAATGAAAGCTTAACACCAGGTCAGCTGGTCTCATGTCCGTATAAAAGAGAAGGGGTTTAAAGGTAAGGCGACCTGCTCCAGTAATTAAAATAAAACTCATAGAACCAATCTAAAAGATTGAGATTCATAACTTTTTAATCAAAATAAATGTTAAATATATGTTTGGTTTTAATTTTTCTTACTAGTAATGAATTACTGTGTAATTCGTCCAAAAATTTTATATAGAGTTTTAAAGGGCGAGTATATTTTTTAGATGCGGTTTTGGAGGTGGAAAGTTCAGGTATCTTTCGCTAGGTCAAGGTCAAGAAGAAACAGCGCTCTCACTTCTCGACATTGCAATATCTAGAGGTCAATGGCTTATGTTTCAAAATTGTCATTTACTGCTTTCCTTTATAAAAAGACTAGAAAAGCAGCTCGAAAAAATTAGCAAACCCCATCCTGACTTTAGATTATGGCTAACAACAGATCCAGTGGATACGTTTCCCATCGGAGTTTTACAGAGATCATTAAAGGTTGTCACCGAACCCCCCAATGGTTTGTATACTGAAATTACCAGAATAATATATGCATCCTCACAATTTTTAAATACCAAATATTTATGTAACTGAAAATAGTTCAGAAATGTATTAAGTATAATATATTAAGTATAATAGTAAAACGAATTATTAGCTACCTACTGCATAAGTCACAGCTGTGAATATTATAGTTACAAAACAGTTTAGTTTACGAGTTTACTATAAAAATTTTTCAATCCAGTTTTCTTACCTTTGTATGTGTTTTTCTTATAAGCTAATCATTTTAAGCATCATGTGTTACATATTTTTAAAATCAGTATAAAGGTAATAATTTAAATATCAAATAAAAAAGGTGGACGTAATTAAAAAAAAATAATGGGATGATACGGGGGTGAGAGGGTGGCTTTCCCAGCAAGTTTAAATATGACATAATATCTCCCCCTTCAAATAATAATTGACGTGTCTTTGCACTGTTTCTAAAAATTAGAAGTTTAACTAGTAGAACTTCTTTAAGGTGGATAGTTTTATCTGAAAAGCACTAGGGTAAACATACCATTTATTGGACACTGTCAGTTATTGGACGTACCAATTATTTTAACTGAAAACAAGAATTCTGTATTCAGTAGTGAGCTAAGTTTTGTTCAGATGTCGCCTTGTACTATTAGAATCCATATTGACGTAAATAACATTTGATTGACGTTTCTGTTTTGCCACCAAATGAAAAGTTCTTTGGTTATGCACCAAAAAGACGGTTTTCTTAACCCTATTTTGAAAAACCTTGGGTGAATTTTAGTGTTATAATTAGTGGTGAAATTATATCACAGTGCTCCTCATAAATATACAAGTTAGTGGTAGAGTGAAAATAAGTATTTTTAAGGTTTAATCACCATATTTAAGTCTAGGTTATGTATTAGATGGGTGTCCAATAACTTCAACTAACATATGAGTATTTTCAGTTATTGGACATCTGTCCAATAACTGCATTTTGCAAAGTTTATACAGTTTTTGTGTTTATGCAGTGAAATATTCGTGCGTCTTCTCTGTTTCTGGCACTTCAATTTTTGTTTCAATATTTGCAGTGTAGCCAGTTATTGGACACCTATCAAATAACTGGTTTACAATCTGTCCTATAACTGAAACATTCATTTACACAGTTTTTTATGTCTCTAGTTTGCAATCATGCCCAAGAAAAATGAATATAATGCGCAATCGATGAAAGCTGCGCTAAATGTAGTCAAGAATAACAATATGTCATATAGAAATGAGGCAAAAAAATACGGTGTACCTAAATCGACGCTGGAATTTAGACCCTAGAAGATTTAATTAAAAGATTTTAATCTTTTGATGATCTTTTGGTTAAGGAAGGCATTACTGAAGAATTTTTGACTTTATACAAAATATGGAATTATTTTGAAAAACCAGATTCGTAGCCAGATAATAAAAAAGTTGACTTGGACATGAGAGATGTGCCGGGATCATTCAATAATCAGGTATCGAACTCGACTGAGACTGAACCTAGACGAGATCCGCCTAATCTTGCACTTGTGCAACCTTCAGGTGCACCAGAAATTAAAATAAATTTGGATGCTGAATTAAATACATCTGAAAATAAAGTTTCAAAAGGCCCAAAAATTAATATAACACAAAATATTGTGATAAAACCTGGTAAAGACATTATCTATAGTTTGCCATCTACTAGTAAAAGTATAGGTGACTAATAGTTCCAGAAAAATCAACAAGAAAGAATAAACGTAATACCGAAAGAGTTTCATGTGCTATAACATCAAAAGAGTATCAAGAGAATTTTGAAAAATAACATGCCTTAAAATTAGAATTAGAAAATAAGAAATTGGAGAGAAACGGAAAAAAAAAGAGTGTGCAGCAGCAAAAGCTTAAAAAAATACTGCCCGAGATACCGACAAAAATAATTCATGTTTTCTGTGCAAGGTTCGAGTTAGTTAACATGTAATAGCTGCCAGAAAAGAATTCATCGATGGTGTGTTTCGAAAAAATATAACGTTCATGCTCCTGAAAAAGATAATGAGGATTTATTTATGTGTTATATGTGTTACATAGGTAGCGGGTAGGAACTCCTTTTGGATAGTCCTATCAGAGAAAGTGAATTAATCCCTGCCTTTCGCAGATTCCAGGTGTTTCCTGACCCGGGAAACTAGTACCTGCTAAGGGTCCCTTGTCCAGGGTCACAGATGAAGCCCACAAAGGCATCTAGGGCGGAGAAGAAGATCTTCACAACGGTCTCGAAGGCGGAGATGGCAGCCCAATGGTTTTAGGGCTTGTATAAAATCGAGGGGAAGATTGATCTCTGAAGTCCAGAAAGACAGTCAATCTAAAGGATGAAAACCTTAAGACAAATTTCCTGGCCCTCCAGGTTGGGGGTTGGATCATTGAGCTAGCTCCTTAATATCTAAAAAAAAACTACTGCTAAAAATCCCAAACCAAGCCTCGGAAATATAGACGGATCTAAACAAAGACGAAAACGGTTACGAAAAAGGACCATGATGATAGGTACATGGAATGTCGAAGGAATAAGGAGTAAAACTGAAGAGATCATCAAAGAACGTAACAAAGGAAGAAAGAGCTAAGAGAGGAGTATCAGTAATTATTAACAAAAAGTTTAAAAGGCAAATTACCAGCTGGACTGCAATAGATGAAAATATCCTGCAAGTAAATATGACCCTATATCATAAAAAAAAACAACAATACCAGCAATCTATGCCTACTCAGAGAATGAGAATGTAACCACAAAAGACGAATTTTTTGCAAAATTAAACGAAGTTAATACTAGGGTTGGAAATAACCGAGAAATATTTTTATTTGGCGATTTTAATGGAAGAACAGGAAACAAGCTCCACAACTATGTAATTGGACCTTATGGAGAAGACGTCGTAAATGATAAAGGAGAAAGACCTATCAATCTCTGTGAAAGTAATAGACTCAAAATAACTAACGGATATTACTGTCACAAAAACATACACAAATATACATGGATTCAACCAACAAAGAATCTTAAGTCTATAATAGATTACGTGATAGTTATACAAAATTCACAAATACTCATTAGAGATATTAGAGCTATGAGAGGAGCAGTATGCGGATCAGATCACCACATGGTCAGGGCAAAAATTGTTTTCCCATATAGATTAAAGGACAGTGTCTCATCAAGCCAAGACGAATAACTTTTAGAAAGAATTGATCTTCCTCAATATAATCTGTCCAGTTTAATTCATGAGAGCACCCGTACACTATATAAGACTCGAATGGACTCCAAACTTGACGAAACACTAACAAATACCAAATGCATATATGAGAACATAATATCAAGTATTCATCAAACAGCACAGGAGGTCTTAGAAATCAAACAAAATAAAATTAATAACAAGCTTTGGTGGAATGAAGACGTCGAAAATGCGGTAACAGAAAAGAAAAGATTATACCATAAGTGGTTGAATACAAAAGATGACGCAGACAAAGACCGATACAATGAAATGAAGAAGAAAACTAGAAAGATAATCGTGATCTCCAAAAATGAGACATGGGACAGAAGGTGCAGAGAGATAGAATCTTATATTGGAGGACGACAATGCACTGAGGCGTGGAAGTTTATAAGCTCTGTTAAGAAGCCGACTAACGAGAAAGTGATTCTAAATCCCATAAATCCCGAGGATTGGACACATTATTACAAACATCTATTAAATGAGAACAGAGACGAATTTAAAGAAGATATGAATTCATCAAGAATCGAAATTCTGGGAGAGCATATTACCATAGATATCAACATAGTTCAAAAAGCTATAGCAGGGATGAAGAATAGGAAATAAAGTAGACCAGAGGGAGTAACTACGGAATTAATAAAGAATGGCTCAGAGAAATTACACAGAATGATCACGGTGATATTTAACGAATATATTAATGGACATCCAACGCCAGATGAATAGAAAACAGCATATATGACCCCAATATATAAAAAAGGCGACAGGAGAAATTGTAAAAACTATAGAGGGATATTAGTCACAAGTTCAATGAGTTGACTATACGGTCGAATTCTACGGCACCTGATAGAGGAAGATTATCAATCGTCTAAAGACGAAGAATAAGGAGGAGTTTGAGCAGGTCGTTCATGTACGGATAACATCTTCTGTCTTAACCAAATTATAGAAAAGAAATTTGTGACAAATAGAGAGTTACATATGACTTTTGTAGATCTTGAGAAGGCATATGACAGAGTCCCGCTAAATAAATTATATGAAGTCCTGGGCACATCAAACATACATCGAACATTGGTTAGTGCTCTCAAAGATCTATATTATGGTTCAAACTCCCAAATGAAATTCAGTAACCTCTTAGCAGAAAAATTTGCAGTTACTAAGGGTCTTAGACAAGGATGTTGTATCTCTCCAATTCTGTTTAAGATTTGTATTTCTGCAGCTCTGAAACAATGGAAAAGGAAAGTCAAAGGAATGGGTATACAATTGAATGATCAGGATTACATATATACTTTACAGTTTGCAGATGATCAGGTGGTGATCTCAAATGACAAAGACGACATGGAATACATGCTTAGAAAACTAATTGAAGAATACCAGAAATGGGGATTAAATATCAATTTAGAAAAGAGAAAATTCCTCTTAATTGGAGCTGAAGCAGAACAACTCGATATCGATGACAATCAAAAAATAAATCCATGTGACGAATATAAATACCTGGGCGTCATCTTCGACCGTAGTGGAAAAGACGAACGAGAAATAGAACATCTAATTGTACAAGCACGAAGAGCTATAGCATGTTTAAACGGAGTTCTATGGAGTTAAGAAATATCAAAGAAAAGAAAATGGAACATCTATGAGACAATGGTTAAAACTAGCCTACTTTATGGAGTTAAGACATGGAGAATAACCGAGAAATATAAGAAAAAGGTCGAAGCCACGGAAATGGATGCCATCAGAAGATCGATGAAAATATCAACAGCCGACAGAATACGAAATGAAGTGATAAAACAACAAATGGGTATAGAGGGCACTATAGTTAAGGATATTGAGAGAAAACATCTCATATGGTATGGGCATGTGAGCCGAATGAAGGATGAAAGATTGCCTAAAAAAACGATGATGTGGCAACCCCCAGAGAAGCGGAAACGAAGAAGACCACCACAGAGCTGGAACCTGGGAGTTATGAAAGCGATTAGCGCTCGAAATCTAGACGAAGACCTAACTCAAGACAGAATACAGTGGTGTTTGGGAGTCGGACAACGTCGTAAGATGGTATAAAACCGAATATATATATATATATATATATATATATATATATATATATATATCCCGCGCGTACAGCGACTATAAAAGCAGCGTCACAGGGTAAGACCGGCTGTCACTCGACACTGAGGAGTATGCAGATCGAGACCTCAGTGCCGAGAGACAGTTCTTGTATTTATAATACAGAACACGATACTGGTACGAGTCGAGTGAGGGGAGTAGGTAGATTGAGACCCGAACTCGAAAATGGAGAAGGAATCGGAACATACCATCAAATAAGAACTGAGAGCAAAATGTGTGATAATTCAAAAATGGCAAGTGAAGAAGATTTTGAAGATTATATAACAAAAGTGGGCTATATGTTAGAAAATAATTCAAATGACGACATAAACGTCGAAAAAACTTTTTAATCTGTACCAAAATGAAATGAAAAAATAAAAGTGATTTATAGTACCTAGGTAGATTTAATTAGAGTTTTTGAACATTGATTTCAACTCTTTATTTGTTTTTAATCATTACTTTGACAGTGTCCAATAACTGAAAATTTTGTGTCCAATAATTGAATTTTCTGTCCAATAATTAACTTTTTCGTAACCGTTCAGGTCTTTTCAAGTTTTCTAAAAAATCTGTTATATTAGGAATATTTAAAACCCGTTAACTTAAAATATCATATGTATACTATAATGTGGCATAGCAGAATAATATCCGTTGAAAATTACACCAGCGGCAGCGACTTGAAATTGAAAAAAATGCTTAAATGTCCAATAACTGGTATGTTTACCCTATATTGTATCTGTAATAAATATATATTATATAATTTTATATTTTATTAGGTCTTAAACTAAATCTACGTAATACTTTTATTAAAATACGATCCAAGGTACTGGACCAATGCTCACACCCATCGTATAAATCATTGGTGTACGTCCTGGCGTTTTTCCATGCAGTCGTTCAAGAACGAAGAAAGTATGATAAAATTGGTTGGAATATCTGTTACGATTTTAATGAATCTGATTTTAACGTATGCGTTACAATTTTAAACACATACTTAACAAAAGCAGTCAAAGCTAAGGATACGAAGATACCTTGGAATAGCTTAAAATATTTAATTGGAGAGGTAATATCAAATACTTTTTAATTTAGTAGTAAGAATAGAAAGTAAATATTTTTTCATTTTTTACCATATTAACATACGAACATAATTATAATGAGTAAATTATATACATTGCTTTTTACCTTGTACACAAAATCATACATTTCATATCCCCTATAATATCTGGTGGTATCATTTTGATACAATGTAAATATATAGTTAGATATATTTATATATATATATATATATATATATATATTATATATATATATATATATATATATATAATATATATATATATATATATATATAATATATATATATATATATATTATATATATATATATATATATATATATTAATATTAAACTCATCAGTATTCGGGTTGAACCGCGTCGATATCCATTGGAGCCGAGCTTTCGACATCCTCTCTGATGTCTTCGTCAGGGCTTCCGAGGTCTCAGTTTCCCGAGCCTCCATACACTATTACACTCACTAGTCACTTCACTGGTCCAACTTAATATCCATTATGAACATAATGTATACGTAATAATAAAGAAGACGAAAAATATTTAAATAAAAAAGAAACAGTGCCAGGAGTGCAAAAAAAGTTAAAAAAAAAACAATAAAACACTTATTTTACTGACTTTCCGGTTTTTTTCTCACCTTAACTGTCACTTTTAGGTAAAAATGGTCACTTGGGTGTTTCGTAATATTTAGCTAGTTGGACAGTACATTACAGTGGGGGAGGGATCAAAAATCTTCAAAAGTTGTGTAACGTCATACTAAAGAGCCCCTTATTATGTAGATTCGTAACTTTATGATTAATATCGATTGAATGATGAAGACCTTTTATTAGAACTCGAAATGTGTTTTCTTGTTTTAATCTGTAGATCTTAATCTTGTTTTGTTTTGTACTTTTTGCCAGTATGCCAGTTATTGAAGTTGTTTGTTTCGCTTTCAACTGGTGTTGTTAAATTACACTAAAGATATATTTGTATTAGTTGAGTGGTGAGAAAGGAGTTGGGTTGTGTGAATAGGACATATATATATATATATATTAATATATAAGGTCCTTTTTGTATGGATAATTAAGTTAGCTGTATTGGGTCTTATATTTGCATAATTTAGAAGAATTACATCTTTGGTTTCGGCTATGTAGTCGTATTTATTGTATAACTCGAAATTACATCGACGACGACAATATTTAATATCATTTGTCCTAACATAAGTATTTTTCACTTAAACATTAATACGTTGTTTTCCATCTTTATAAGAAAGCACTTATGTCTCGGATCCATACATTAAGACTGAAAGTATAGGTATAGGTTATGCATACCCTTATCTTTGATTTTATTATTAGTGTTGAAATAACTAAAATTAGTTACACTGTTTTATTGAACTTAATTACAATTGAAATTAACATTTTAATACATGAAATAATGGACTGTACATTTCTTCGATGCGGATGTCTGATGGCCGCTAGCAGAGAGAGTCAAAGACTTGTTGAAGTTGACTGCTTGTAATGGAACACCATGTTGCCAAGTTGGTTTAAGTTTTCTCCATATTCTCTGCATTGAACGGTTGGTTCAATAATACTGGTACAGATCTTAGTGACAGCTCTTTTTAAAGTTCTATTCGACGCCTTTACTGTAACGACTCGTACTACGCTGTCTGGACCACTACTGTCTAGAGCCTGACTCACTATTCTGTGCAGACTTGCGCAGTTCATTTGTATCCATTTCTGAATCTGTCAATGAGGTTTATGTGTATTGTTGGTTGCGAACATTTTTTTTTTATAAATTAATAATATAATTACTTAAATCTATCCACTGAACCCGTTTGATAAATTTCTTCTGCTTCTACGGCACTACAGCCCAAAATGAGCCTTGGCCTCCTTTATTTTTTGCCTCCACCCTTGTCTGTCTGTGGCTGCTCTTCTCCATACACGGACTCCTAAAAGTGCTTGTGCGTCGTTGCTTACTGTGTCTTCCCAGCGCTTTCTTGGCTTTCCAACTGGTCTCTTTCCCTGCATTCTGGCGTTCAGTGCTCGTTTTGGTAGCCTATCCTCTCCCATTCGTATCACATGTCCGGCCCATTGCAATCTTTGTATTCTAATGAAGTTTGACAGGGGTGTTTCCTTATACAGTTGATAGAGCTCGTTGTTTATATCGAATTCTGAAGATTCCGTTTTCCTCTCACAGGTCCTAGTATTCTCCTCAGTACTTTTCTTTCGAATGTGTCGAGTTTGTTTTTGGATGTTTCTTTCAGGACCCATGCTTCGCTGCCATAACATGCTATTGGCCGAATTAAAGTTTTATATATTCTCATCTTTGTATTTCGGTGGACACTTTTAGACCGAAATATATGGGAGAGGGCAAAATAAGCTTTGTTTGCCTGCGTTATTCTTTTTCGTATTTCTCCATCCTCTGCTCCATCGGCATATATTTCTACTCCCCAGGTATGTAAACTTTCCAACCGTTTCAATGTCATCTTCATGTATAATGTTTTGTGGGATTATATTTCTTCTCGTCTGTACCATTATTTTTGTTTTTTCTGTGTTAATTTCCAGACCTAGCCTTTTCGTTTGTGTTTTTAACTCTGCGTATGCTTCCTGTGCTCCTGTTGATGTTCTACTCATAATATTAATATCATCGGCGTAGGCAGCCAGTTGAACCGTTTGATAAATTTAATAATGTTTAAATTATAAGAATAACTCTAAAATTAATAGTAAATAATAGCAAATCAAAATTTAAGGTTTTTTAAAATAGTTTTAAAAAGTATTTAAAAAAAATACTTTTTGCGCATTTTTTCCAATAAAAATTTGTTATTTTATATACAGGATGTTGACTGATGTTATATATCAATTACTATGATACCAACTTTCTTATTTTCAATGAAAGATTGGTTATATTATAAAATTTTTGGATTATGCACAAAATTCCCAGAACTTTGATATATTGCATGTTATAGTTTATAATTAACTTATTTTAGGATACAGGGTGGTTAATGAATAAATCACTCTCTGCGTGTCTCCTTATGACTTTCAAAGGTCCTATACCTAATTTCAATAAATAAGAGTGATATTGCTAGATAAATATTTACTTTACCTACTCTTTGTGTGCTATGACGAAAAGAGAGTATTTAAAAAGATACCCAAACAGGCTGCAGCCTAATCGCCAACATTTAAACATAATTTCGAAAGTGGTTTTAATTTAATGCAAATATGTGCTTAATGCAAGATGGTGCACCACCACATTATACGAGGGAAATGGATTGGTCGTGGTAGTTATTTTCCTTGGCCAGTACGTAGCACAGAATTTAATCCGCTCGATTTTGGTGTATAAGATGCATTTAGTCATAACCATTCGCAACCCACTTTATGAAGAAATAAATACTGCATCAGTTTGTCTGCTGAACCAATGATCCTATTTAAAATAAAATGATCTTTTATGGAATGTATTCATAAATGCATTAAAGAAAATGGTGGACATATCGAACACTTTGATAAAAGTGTAATGTTATTTAATTTAACCATTTTTTAATTCGGTTTGTAAATAAGATGTTTTAATTTTGACTTTATTTTAATATTAAGTATATTATATTAAGTATTAAGTATTAAGCATATTATAATATAAAGTTGGTTTACATCAAATGTTTGATGTAAAATCCCATTATCCTATTATTTTGTTCAATTCTATTATTTATTATTCTAGTGAAATATTTATTTTCTTGAATATTTCGTTGACTATTAACTTTAGTTAAAGGTATTTTATACAAAAATTTAGAAGTATTGATGTTTTTTTTTATATAATGGCTTTGGATTATTGATTCATTCAGCCACGATATTATAATAAATACTGTTTGCTACAATATTAAATCTGGCTAATTGGTCTTTACCAAAGCCATCTAATTAAATAAAATACAATATTTAATACTATATACACATGCGCACATATACACACTTATGCACGCACATAATAGGTATTGTTAAATAAAAATAAAAAAAAAAATACAAGGAAGTGGAAACATTAAATTGACCTCTATTTAAACTCTTCATTCAGGACCCTAACCAACTTAAATTAATTTACAAATAAGAAATATACAAATAATACTAAATGCTAATACTAATGCTATATTAATAATTGTCACAGCGCTAAGACATAAACCCGGTTCAACACCTCGGAGGTTTAGGCCTTCTTTGTGATTGTTTTTTTTTACGATTTTTTAATTTTTTTAAATATGATTTTTTATTTATATATAAATTTTTTATTTTTTTTATATATTTTTTTTTCTATTTTTCTTTTTTGTATTTTTTTTTCTTTGTTTTTTTTTCTTTTTTTTCTTTTTATATACATATTTATATTTTTTAATTTTTTAAATAACATTCTTCGTATTTTACAGGGAGGTACTTAATATTACATAAGAATAAATATGAAAAACAATAATTGCTAAACACATTCAAGCCGACTCATTCATACAAGTTAGATTTTTCTCTTAGTCCTTTTTAAAAATTTCCAAATAATTTGTTGTATTTTATAGTTTCGTCGAGACAAAGTATAAAAGAGAAGTTTGGTTTTGTGGTAAAGGTATTTGTTCTTGAGCCAGAGTGTGCATCAAATATTTAATTGCATCATCATTATGCTTGCATCCAAACAACCAATGATTATTAATATCATCAGCATAACCATTGCAATCACAAAGTTCTGATTCGGATAGATTTAGTCTATAGAGGTATGTCTTGACAGTGGCATGGTTAAAGAGAAATCTAACAAACATGGAATAAATATTTCTATTGGGATAACTTCTTACGGCAAACGACTCAGTAGGTTAAACTGGATGAATTTTTGTATAAATATTATTGCTTCGATTACAGAAAGCAAACCATTTAATTTCCCAATTTTGTTTTAGACTTTTCTTGCAAGTGGCTGTTAGATCGCTTCTATTTAGCCAAGTTATTTCTGATTCTTTTAAGATTGCCTCTTTAGCATAAAAATCTGCTTTGAGGTTACCAGAAATACCAA